TTTAGGGGGGTTTGTCACGTCTATTGTTTTTCATTTTGTGTGTGTGGTTTCTCTTAGAGGATTTCCTTTTTTTCTTCTTGTTTTTGGAAAGCCTTGTTTAATACTGAGATTGATTGAATAAGAAACTACTGATTAAATATTTTTCTAGTCAATTACAAATGAAATTTCCTAGAAAATAAGGTTTAAGGCAACATTTTAATCGTTCACTCTTGGAATACTTTAATGTCGTCCCACAGGTCCCAGCAAATGCTCTATATTCATTGTAGCTTCTTCTGGAGCTAATGAAATTTCCTGTTTATATCACTACCAGTCAAATATTGTCTGTTTTAATTACTACTGCAGTCATTCACCAGCTTTTAATTTACAAACTTTCTTTAGTGTGGTCCCTGGTAGCAATATACTGTGATACTGTCTTCATAATCTTTGTACTTTGTTTTGTGTGTCATCTTTGCACATGAGTTTTGTGTAATGCATTTGTTGATCCTTTTGGAGCGTAGGGATACTCTGCATCTTAGGATTGAAGCACTGCCATGTGAAGAATGGATCTGCTGTACAAATTCCATCTCAGTCCATTGTTCCTATTGGCCTTGTTCTTTCTTGGGTAGTATAAGTGGTGGGAGCATCAGAGCGGTGCTTTTGAGGTACATATGGATGCACTAGTACATTTGTGCCACATTTCCATCTGCTTCATGAGCAGTTTCATCTGCAGTTCATTGTACACCTTGCACAAATTCTCACAAGCACAGGAAAGCTGGTGGCTTTCCCAGTGAAGTACGTTGTTTCTCAAGGAATACTTAGTTTGGACCCACAGACTTGTAGAAGTGCATTGTGCAGAAGAGTAATTCTGAAGGGTAGTCCAAGTATGAACTTCAAATGGAGAATAACCTGTGTGTTAATAAAATACAGCAATAGGTATTGAGTCAGCTTGCACAGTCCTGGACTTTACAGAGTAGAAGTGTGGTAGGCTTGTACAAGTACCATGTATGGAGGTAGAATTTTATATGGAAGCTGCAGGGAAGGGAGCAACATATTTGAAAGGAGTACAGGTCAAACGTGGAATAGGAGTCAACAAAAGCTGACGAGATTGGCAGATGAACAGGGAAGCAGTCTTTCAGTGTGTGTTCAGATCATGCTTAAGTGCACTTACCAGTCTCATAAAGGTTTTGAAGGCTGCGAATTACTTGGATTTTAACACATGGCCTTTTAATTCAGTGGAACATGAGCTCCCAGTTATGTTCAGTTGAATTGCTCTACTATTTATCTTTGCTTTCTCTGCTATCCTCCAGGTCTTTTGTGCGTAATAATGAAATACTCAGTTTGTTGTTACAGTATTTCTACTCTTATCTGTTCTGGATCTGGAAGCCGGATGGCAGGTCTGTTGATCACCTTGTTGTATATTCATGGACATGGGTTAGTGCTGACTTACCAAATGTCTGGTTTTTTACTTTGCTTTACCTGCACATTCCACCTCCCCTGCCTCCTTTACCAGCCAAACAGCTGATGCAACTCTGCAAGCTTTAGACAAGCCACCTGAGCAGTTAAACAGGTTCATTTTGGCTTCTATACATCCTGCTACATGCCAGCATGGACGTGGGAAGGAAGGCAGGTTGTGAATGTGTTGCATTTTATCAGAGTAGACTTTAGACTTCCTGTTAAATATCCACAAGTGATAAGACGAAAGAAAGGATAGAAAAGGAGCTGCCATTTGGAAGGCAAAATCAAGCCTAGGGCTCTTCCACAGAAGAATTAGAGGTCGGGTTGATAGTCATAATTGTTCGGCCTATAGAATTTTGTAACCTCTCTGTTTTCTTTTATAGCCTTAAGCGTTGTGAGTTAAATTTCTTTCAGTGAATACTGATTTTATCAGGTTAGTCAGTAACAGACAAGAAATTTTCAGCCTAAATGGAAGCAGGACCATGGACTTGAATAATTAATGCTTTGCAGTGGTTCAGGTGTTGCCACAGTAAGTTGGATCACTGGAGGACGAAAGGTGAGTAGCATCTCCAATAAATCAGAAGGTTGTATTTTGTTAAGTTGGTATGTGAAGACCAATCCACAAAATTTGCACTGAGAAAGTAGAACGTGCATGTTAAAAACAGGAAGATTTTAGGTCTTGGATATATTCATTCTTGCTTTAGGAATGCAACGGGTTTAATCCATTTCCTTGCATGCGTTTTGGCAGCCTGTTTTTTTTGCAAGTGGGTAACCATAAACTGCCTCTGTAGATAGTCTGATATTTTCTAACACATACATGCATAAAACCAGAATACATATCTGACTCTAAAGATCCATAAACCACTGAGAGGATGTGTAGGGTGAGAAGAGATTTGTTTGCCCCGAGATGTACATGCATTCTGTATTGAATGCTGTAAGAATGTAATAAGAAGTGAATAGACTACAGATAGCGTACAGTGGATAAGGGTGTATGTATCTGGATCACTTTTACTCTTTGCATTAATGTTTGGTGACCATTTTCATTAATTCCTCTTTCTTAACAGCGATGGTAATTTGTGCATGTAATGCAGCCTTAGAGAAAATGAAAAACTTTCCTTCAAGATGCTATTCTTATTTTTTTAAGTTTATTATTTTATTCAAGCAAATTAAGGCAGTTCTACCAGCGTTATTCTTGAGAGCATTTCCCTTATAATGTTCTTTAACATGCACTAAGAAAAATTGGTGTGAAAGCTACTATATACACAGAACACTGTTGACAGTATAGTGTGTGCATCAAAACCAACAATCAAATCAAAATAATTTTCCTTTAATTGTCAACACAAGTTGAAGATTATCAAGTGTGTGTTCCTTCTCTACCTGATGACATTTACCTAGACCTCTTTTATAATTGCAGATCTTTACCCGTAAAGAAAAAAATTAAATGAATGTTTACCAGTTTCTCTTAAGGGATATAATATTTTTTTTCATTGTACTGATATTTTTTCATAACCACCTGTATTTTTGAATGCTTCTGTCAGTGTTTCCTACTTCTCTGCCACAAATGGTGATGGCCGTTAAAGTGTCACATATTTGTCCTTTGTCTAATTCACATTCCCGTGAAGTTCATTGTTCTCTGAAATGTTGTAGATACCCAAAGTGTGGGTATCCACACTTGCACAGAGTTGCAAGTTTGTAAAGGTTTAATTTGTGCTGCTAGCTGAAAATGTTACATTTATTTTTATATGTTTGAATTTAACTCTGGTAACAAACAAATAAATGTTGTATAAGGAAATAGGTGGTTTTGGACCCACCCTCTTTGTCTCTGACTCTTTGAGAGGAAAAGATTGACAGTGGCAAAACTTAGAAAAGCAGAAGCCAACAGCTGTGAACGTTTCCATTCTTATTTAGTCATCTGAGTTTAGTTGTGCGAGTGCCTTTCAACAAACAAGAAAAGAATAGCTGCATATGAACCATGTGAGTCAATATATGGTAGCTTTCTGAGCAGATTCTGAAGGGGTGAAAAACTTCCTATTTTGTTAGTTTGTAGAGATGAGATAATTTGTGTGTGTTTAATTCAAAATCTTTATCATTATGCTAGCCAATGATAAAGAAATGGACTACTGAGCTACCATGCAGAATAATTGTTTCAGGAGCGTCCCTTCTCCAGGAGCTGTTTGAAATAGCATGCATACATGTACTTGTCCTTGGCTGGAGAGTCCAGGGAATGATTTTTGTTGCACTGATTTTAAAAGCATTTTCTTGCATGCATAACTGGTCGGCTTGTCCTCAGGGAGACGTTTCACAGCCATTCTGTTTGGCTGAAGGAGAAGTGCTGTTGCGATGGCTTCCCATTTGGGATTTGGTAGGAAGAGATGGGTGGTTTTGACCATTCATTTTAAAGGTGATTTAAAGGGTAATTTTTCTTCTAGATACAGGTTATATTAAAGACTATTGAGCCTTCAGAGAAGCTGTATAAAACAACAAAATTAAGTGATATTGCAGCACGTGTTAAGAAAACAAAGTATAAGAACTTATGCTTCCTATGTTGAGAACTTGATTAAAAAGAATGTTGTTTACCCTTTCTCTAAAAAGAAAAGATTTTTCAATTTGCCTGAGATTTATTTAATGTTCACTTTCTTTTCTGGTGTTTTCGGTCTTCTTGGAATTACCTTGCGTGCTTGACAAAAAGATATATTTTGTGGTAGACCAGCTGAAGCCAAAAGAAAAAGTGCAGAAGGTTATGACATGGTTAAAAATTAGAAGTGAGAGCAAACATGTCTTAGGTGCCTGTCTCTCTTTCTGCATGTTTACTTTAAGAACTGGTAATCATCCCATTGTCTGGCCTTAGGTGGTGGTGTGTTTGTGCAGCTAAGGGTGTGTGTTTTCTTTGTTAAACACAGTTTAGAGATTATTCTTTAAACTATGTGGGTGCTATATTTGATTTGATCTGCTCTTTGAATCATGCCCGGTTTCAGCTGTAGGTTGTATTTTTGCAATTTCTCAAACTAGCCTTTTCCTTTTTAGTTCTGTCCTTGTAAAGTTGTAATTAGCAAGCCATGGTCTTGGTGTATGGTATAATGTTTTTATCAGGTTATAGAAAAAAATGTTCCAGGCTTTGGCCAATATGATTCTTATTCAGAAGCAGCTTGTAAATCTGCTTGAAACTGTCATTTGGGAATGTTCTGGTTTTGGCTGGGATAAAGTTAATTTCCTTCCTTATAGCTGGTATAGTGCTGTGTTTTGGATTTAGTATGAGAATAATGTTGATAACGCACTGATGTTTTAGTTGTTGCTAAGCAGTGTTTATACTAAGTCAAGGACTTTTCAGCTTCCCATACTTTGCCGGCGAGGACGTGCACAAGAAGCTGGGAGGGGAGCGTAGCCAGGACAGCTGACCCAAACTGGCCAAAGGGATGTGCATACCATATGATGTCATGCTCAGTATATAAGCTGGGGGGAGTTCGCCGGGGAGCAGCGACCGCTGCTCAGGGACCGACTGGGTGTCGGTTGATGGGTGGTGAGCTGTTGCATCAGCTCTTGTTTTTTGTTTTTTTTTTTTCTTTCAGATTACTCCGAACTGGGAGAACTTCCACCAAGATCCCCATTGGAACCAGTGTGTGAAGATGGCCCCTTTGGGCCAGTGAAAGAAGAAAGGAAACGGACACCCCGTGAGCTTCGCGAGTTGTGGAAGAAAGCCATTATTCAGCAGATACTACTCCTCAGAATGGAGAAAGAAAACCAGAAGTTACAAGGTTGGTGAAGTTCTTGATTACACCCTACTGCAATACAAGTTCACTTTTTGGTTTGCTCTGTGGCCTTGGCAGTGGATTGGACCAAGCCTTAATAAAACATTTTAGGAACATACAGATAAATCAGTTTAGCAGCATCTCCCTCAGCTCTCATTAGTGTAGGTTACAATTTACACTTATTTTTTTTTTATCACTTCACCTTATTGTTTGTTTACTTGATCTTAATTGGTACTCTTCTAGTTTTACCATGGCTGGGGTTTTTTAGTCTGGTGTCTAGAAGCTCTGACAAGGAATTCAGCACAATCACTATCATGAAGTGAATTCTTTTCTACATTCGCATCCGTAGGTCATTGTCTTAGTATTGGTCATTGCAACGTTCTGTTTAACCAGTCTTCAAGTTGAATTGAAGTTCTTAAGGAGCTGGTTGTGGACTTCTGTGGGTGCCTGCCTGTGTACACACACTGTGCAAGCAAGGTTTGTATGGAGTAGTAATGACTTAGACTAGTCAGAAGGGTGATGAGAAGGAGCTTGAGAAACTGGAATTTGCAGTTGTGAACCAAAATTTTTCTGTGGCTGAATTCATAGCTGCAACAAATCCGTTGTGGTGGCAATTTTTACACGTAAAATGCCGCTGATTAAGAATACACATTTTATTGTAGCAGCTGCATACAGAATTACAAGTGATTGCCCTTGAGAGCTGCTCCTTTGAAAGATATGAATGATGAGGACAGGAATGTTTATTTGGCTGATTTTAGATGTTCAGGAAGGAACCCTCAAGGGGTGAGGTACCTGGCATGAAAATGGCAATTCTTCTTTGCCTTTGTGTAAACCTGAGGAAGGATTGTCTTCCAGGAAGAACTGTGTAGTGAAAGGGCCCAGCCATGTGAAAAGGTCAGTATACCAAACATGAAATCCTTTAAACTTGGGCTGAGACTCCTGGCTGGAAGGAGAAAACACCTCTCTTGGACATTGGATATGGCCTCCCAGAACACTTAGCCCACCTGTAGGCTATTTGCTCCTAGTAGTATAGCTCTCCTATTTCAACCCTGATATCTGAAGAACACCTGACACCTGAATTTCCTAAGAACCGCACAGGTGACAGGCATGTTCCCAGCAAATGTACTTGCTAATCCAGTAAAATAAAATATGGCAATGGATACCAAATATACGGTGTCCTTGGCTAAGGGGCCAAGGCCATCTGGAGAAAGAGGTACCAAGAGCAATGATTTATACAATCCCTTCATCTTCGAGCAGTGCTGTCATAAATGAGTTTCTATCAAGTCGTTCTGTAACTTGGAATTTTTATGGGACCTAGTATTTAGAAATAAATTTTCCTCTGTTTTGTATATTTATACTCCTGATTTTTTTTTTTTAATTATCTTGTATTCAAGTTATCTGAATCTACAGCCTGCAGTCAAGTTTTTGGCAACTGCAGGACTTCAGTATCGATAAAAATTTTAACAAGTTTAATCAGATGCTCCAGTTTTGTCTGCCCAAAAGAAACAATTGCAAAACCGTCACAAATTCACTAAGACGAGTATGTCTGAAGCTAGTTAGTGAATGAATGAGATGGGTGTTGGCATGACTAAAGACCCAGGCTGTACAGTATGCACCGTGGAGTAAGGAGGTTGTCCTAGGGAGCTGCTGCATGAAGAGCTCAGATGGCGAGACAGTACTTGAAAAAACAGGTGACTATGCTGCAGTGAGCACAGCTTTGTAATGTAATGCCACATGTTCTGATGCTTTTGTCTCTGGGAAGTAAAAATAAATATTTTACACGTGATAATAATTCTCAGAGTACTACTGTTCAATACTGAAAAAAAAAATTAAAATTAAATGTACAGGATGTTGCATCTTTACTGATAATGCTTAAGTGTGATATTGGGAATTGGGTAGTGTCAGTATCTAAAATAAGCTTCTTGACAAAGGCATATTCTGTCTTCAGTCCTTGCATGTCATTCCCACTGTCACATTTTTGCATGTGGCATAAGAAGACTGAATAAAGCAGAAAAGTCTGAAAAGTTGCCAAGCACCAGAAAACACTTGTTTGCAAAAGGCGGAATGTTAAAAGATTTCTCCGAGTTTGTCATATAAGCTGAAACTTAAATGACATTTTTAAGTTATCGTCATACAATACCACCTGTGTTTTAAGGTTTTTTTAATACTCTAATACATAAATATGTTATATTTGACCTGAAGAAAATGTGATTTTCTGATGACAGTTTAGATGCACAGAATCACTTTTAGTGTGGACACACAACTACAATAAAACTGTCAGTGCTTGTAATTACATGGTTCTATGGTTAAACACTGAATATAATCTACAGGGAAAAATCAAAAGCAACAAGAAACCAGGAATAAAAAAACCCTAAGGAGTAAAATTAAGCTACAGCTGTCTGTATCAGGACGGGTAAAGCATGTGTCAGACACATGCAGCCAAAGTTGTGTTTTAAAAAGAAATATACTACTTCGAAGTGAAAAGTCAAAGTCTAAATTAGAAAATGTCAAAATGAAATACTGTGAGGTCCAGATCTTGCAAACGCTTAGGTAACATCATAACTCACTTGAATAACCTCACTGAATGAAATCATTCACATGTGAAAGCAACTACAGGATGAGGAGGTAAGGCGGACACTTCCCAAATATAAACAGTTCTTTTCTTTTTCCATTTTTAAAATCTAGAATCTTGTTTTAGCCACTGGGAGTACAGGACAAGCTAACCCTTTGCAACTCTCAGAATTTGATAATCTAAAAAACCTTAATTGCAGATACAGATCTCAGAAGAAAATGAGCTTAGTGTATTAGCTATTTTAGTGTCATTATGGGCCATGTATATTTCAGGTGATTTTTAACTGTTTAGTAAATTTATATAAACAAGTTGAACATACAAACAATGGAGAGTTAAACTAACAAAATATAACATCCTTTTAACGTAGATTGTCTCAAGACTGTAATGCATAGGAGTGTGATTTTGTTAGTTCATACTGTGACATCAGAAGTAGCAGTAGGCTTATGATGTATGGCAGAATGTTCTCAAAATGAGAGTATCTTGTTAGCGTTACAGTAATGCATCATCACAACAATGAAGTACTGTGAATACATCATGGCAACTTAATTAAAAATCATGGTCACTTCATGATACACTATTTCGTAAGTATGTTTTCGAATCGTGTTATTTGTAATTTGCTCGATGGGTGTTATTCAGGAGAAGTATTTTTTAATTTTTGTTTAATACTATAGAACCTTTTCAGTCCTTTATTCTTTTGAACCTGTGCTCTGCTCATTTTTGCATTTTTCTGTACTTGAACTTTCCTTTTTATGTAGTCTATAAAAATGGACATGTGAATGATCACCTTTAAAGTAATTTTTTTTACTTTGTCATTACTATTATGGAGCTGTCTGCATAAAAAATAGATGACTCTATTGGGTTTGTATTTTTATTTGGTCTAGGTCTTCTGCACTAATTTTTTTTAAGAGCCGGGAAATTGAAAAATCCTGTTAGGAAAATCTCATGTTTATTTCATTAATCACCGTCTCTCATGTTTCTTCATATTTAAGAGTTGGCTAGCTGTAAGGAACCTGATTTAACAGGCCAAACACAGCTCCTGATGTGTACAATATCTAAAAAAAACAAAAAAAACAAAACAAAAAAAAAAAAAACACCCCACAATCACAAAAATTTAGACATGTAATGTTTCAGAATTAATAGAGTTTAATTTTAGGTGGATTGCATGATGAAGTTCTAAGTTAAATTAATCCATTTTATAAATAGTAAACACTGTTAACTGGTACATTCACGATATCACTTCCTAGCTTCAGAAAACAATTTGCAGAACAGACGTCTGAAACTTGACTATGAAGAAATCACACCATGCTTAAAAGATGTAACTTTGATTTGGGAAAAAATGTTGAGTACACCTGGAAGGTCAAAGATTAAATTTGATGTGGAAAAAATACACTCTGCTGTTGGGCAAGGTAAGCACAGTTTGTTATTTTGAGTTGTTGAAATGCATGTAAATTGTATTAGAAAAGCAATAAGGGCGACCTCTTAACCACTCCTTATAGCCAGATTCTCACTAGAGCTGTTCCTCAGGTTGCTGACTAAACAAGTAACAGTGTTTGTTATCTTCATGGTTACGCATATGCAAGTTACAGTCCCTTTCAGCAGTAGCTGCAATTGTATTACTGGAGTTACAGTACTTGATATTCATTTTTGAGTAACATTTGTCCTTAGAGGAGAGTTGTACAGCACCTCAACGTATTACAGTTGTTGCGGTCTGATTTCTTTAATTATAACTTTTACTTTATAAAAAAAGCCTGGATAACGCCAAAGAAATGACTGTGTAAATAACTGAAAAAACTGTCTGCACTATTATCTGGAAATTCGCTGTTCCAGCCTGGGTAGTATGTATGTATACAACAGTATACATGGATATCTCTGTAGAACTGCCTTTTTTCTGAGTTCAACAACGCATTGTACCTGCAAACACCACTTAGTCTTCCTCACAACTGCAGGGCTGAGCAACCAGCTCCTATCTCCACTGCATCAAAAGTAACATAACCTGAGGACGTTTATTAAATGTTCTAAGAAATTGGGTTATTACTCAATGTTATTTGTGCCATGGTTGGACCCAAAGGCCTTATGCTGAGGGCTGTATGTAGCCGATGGTGAAGATGGCTACTCCAAGGAGCTTTTTATAGTTCTATACAAAGCTTTCCAACGTTAATATTTTAAATATTGCACCTGTCTATATGCGGTTATTCAAGCAAGTGAAACCAAATTGTCCATTTAAGATGACTAGGTAAGTCTAGATTTCTAACAATATCAAATGCCCCAAGCACAAATCTCTGCAGAGTAAGAAAAGTTCATTATCACAGGTTTCCTTCTATTCATGTAGGTAAAGGGCTCTGTCCAGTCAATATTTGAGCATGAGAAAAACTTGGTTTCTGTTGATAGTCCAGTGATGCTGGCCTGTGTTAGAGTTCAAAATAAAACTGAAAAAACTTGGAGTGACGCAAAATAAGTAAATAAATAAATAAAGCCCTGCTGAGTGGATTGCTAATAAGAAGCACATACAAGTAGCCAGTGGATGGGAAAATTATCCCTAGCTGTTGATGCTATTATTATGCTCTGCTCTGTAGAGCCCAGCTGTGTCAGAGTTCTTAGAGTGACGTGATGTCAAATTTCATACATATGCAGAAATTAAAAATGCATTTGAATTAGGATAACAAATATATAGTGTTGACCTATAATGTACACTGTAGTAGATGTTTAAATATAGTTCATCTTTCATTTAGGAAGTAGTAAACTAAATATTTTACATGTACCATGTAGCGCACAGAGATAAATTTAGTATCGGACTAATTCCTTAAAGGGAATTTTAATTTATTTGTAATTTTGCAGCTGTAAATGTGCACTATTAAGCCAGTTCTGCCCTATGTGACACATTCAACTTCACTGAAGCTAATGGGATTTTAGATGTGTATCTGAAGAGGAGAACCTGGCTCATTCAGTGTCTGAAACGGCATTTTCTGTCACTGTTTCATATTGGAGACTTTTTGACAATTGGGTTTAAGTTAAGTTCCCTAAAGTAATTTACAGAAACGTTCTCTAAATACACTTGTGATGTGCGTTCAAATATTATACATTTCTACTAGCATTTCATTTTCAAGCAATTGCCTCTGGATTGTGATAGTGTAATAAAAGTAAGTATTGCAGAGATAAATTCATATCCTTCTGTGTTTATATGAGAGAAGGCAGTGCAATTGCTCTAACATGGAAAGATAACAAAACATAAGTTTTTAGATTAACATATTTATATTTAACATATAAGATTAAGACTATCAACATATGCTTGAGTCAATTTTCATTTCTCCTATAGTTGTTGTCATTCATACGTTACATATATACCAAAAGAAAAAAGCAGTCCAAAAAACTTTTAAGCCATAAGTTACTTCAAACTGTAATATCTGGTTCCAGTACATCACGGATTAGACAGAATACATTCCCAAAGAATAGTGTATTGATATCTTGTGTAGATGATTTAATAGTGCTAATCTTGTGCTGAATAAAGTATGCATGTAACAATAACCTTTCTGTTTCTTTCTGAGCTTTGCATATAGATACAAATGAAGGCTACCATTACCTATGTGAAATAGTTAAGTAGCGTCACCCCTTTTTATAGAAAGAAATTCAATCTTTAAAACATTTTTACATGTACCAGTCATTCAGCAAACCAATAGCAAAACTAGAAATACAATACTTGCTTTCTGATTATTTGCCTTCTGTTGTAGTCTCTAGATCATGTCTCATTTGTACTTGTTTATGCTTTTGGTATGTGTGCATCCTACCTTCCTAAAACTTACTCCTAACAATAGTGTCAGTGCTATATTAGTGAAAAATGTTAATTAGTTATATTGCAGTGCATTATTGTGTACTTTACATGGAAAAATGGGAGATAAGCATGTAACTTTTCAGAGACAATTGCAATTTTTGCTGCCTCTTCTAGTACTTCTCAGACTGGATGTAAGCAGTAACCTTAGACTTAGGCAGCTCACCGTGTTTCTACCTTAAATCTCTCCTGTTAAGATGCTGATGTCTTTTATTGGTTGAGGAAGTATAAGCACTGTAGTTTGATCTGCTTCTATGGTCTACTGGAGATAGCAGATACAGATCTAGCAGATAGGGGTCTGCTTGCATATCTAGCAGATATGGATCTTCAGTTCCTCAATTGTGTTAGCTCAACTATAGCTGAACCCTCAGTATGACCACAAATTACTGGTTTAATGACTTTCTTCTCTCAGGAGTACCACGTCACCACCGTGGGGAGATCTGGAAGTTTCTAGCAGAACAATACCATCTTAAACATCAGTTTCCGAGTAAACAACCACCAAAGGACACACCTTATAAAGAACTCCTAAAACAACTAACTTCCCAGCAACATGCAATACTTATTGACCTAGGTAAGTACAGTAGTAGTCTGAAATTAAAATAAGGGTTTTATGATCTCTGGAAGAGAATTAAATAAAAGAAGGTAACACACAAAAAGCCTCTCACCATTTAATAATAGGTTGTTGGTAAGAACTCATGAGCGGCGTTCCCCAGGGCTCAGTTTTGGGGCTGGTCTTGTTCAATATCTTTATCAATGATCTGGATGAGGGGATTGAGTGCACCCTCAGTAAGTTTGCAGACAACACCAAGTTGGGCGGCAGTGTTGATCTGATCTGCTCGAGGGTAGGAAGGCTCTGCAGAGGGACCTGGACAGGCTGGATCGATGGGCCCAGGCCAACTGGATGAGATTCAACAAGGCCAAGTGCCGGGTCCTGCACTTTGGCCACAACAACCCCATGCAGCGCTACAGGCTTGGGGAAGAGTGGCTGGAAAGCTGCCTGGCGGAAAAGGACCTGGGGGTGTTGGTTGACAGCAGGCTGAACATGAGCCGGCAGTGTGCCCAGGCAGCCAAGAAGGCCAATGGCATCCTGGCTTGTATCAGAACTAGTGTGGCCAGCAGGAGCAGGGAAGTGAT